ATATAAGTTTAACATAACAGCAAATGTACAACGTTTCGTTTTGTACATTTGCTGTTATGTTAAACTTATATTAAAGTTTTTCTTCATTACCCATTCAAGCCGTTTCCAACCATTATTAGTCTCAAAGTGGGTTCCTCGTCATCGAATATGTTACTTTGTTCAAATGAAAGTGGGCATTGTATTTTAAAACATTTAGAACAGCCAACCATAAACATGCATCATCCTTCAAAGACACGTCTTCACGTTATAGTATTGTCTCATTCTGAGTGATTTTCTTCAGCACTAAAGAAATCGAAGTAACATTTCCGAGGGTTACAATCAATACTCCAATCACCGTTTATTGGTTCTCAGCCCACAAGTTATAAGCCTATTGTTGGATACTTAAGCTCTTAAGTGCAGTTTGTTCTTTAACTTTGCATTATGAGGTACCGATTGGTATGGAAATTACGCTAACAACTACAAAACTTGGTACCGCTAGGATATTAAAAGAAATAAAGACACGTCTCCTATAGGATGTATTCTTTGAAGACCATCGTTCTTCTGACATTTCATTTCGCTTCATTGGCGACTTGCCAAGTTGTGAAAGGTAAGTGGAAAACAAGCAATTAACAATAAAGTGGTATATTACATTACGGAGGACTGGCGTTTTATACTGACGACTAAAGTTGTGATGTTATTAAAGGCTAACTTGTATTAAAGAATGAAGGTACCACTGTAACACTGTTCTTACTGAACTATAGTATATACATACAAGATTTTACTAGTGTAATAAATTACACAGTTTTATAAGTGATGTCTATAAACGAAGTTTTAATATTTTAACTTATTTAATACTTTTGTATAATTCGAATTTTTAGTTCCATAATAAAACTAACTTTATAACAACTAATTGAGAAATAGGCTTTTAAGACTGTAATATAAATTAATATAATAGTCGGCTATAAACCAGGTTTCTGATACGATAACAAAGTCTTATAAAACTCGTGTATAAACTAACGTTTTATGATTGTAGTAATTTAGCTTAATATAAAACTTGTTAAGTCAGAACTCTTGGATACCTGTTTTTTTGCTAAAGTTGTATAATACCATAACAAAAACAGTCATATAAAGCATGATCTGACACCAGTAAATCTTCTCCTGTATAACTTGTATAATCCGGGTCTTTAATACTCTAATAAACTAGCTTTATATAACTTGTATATCAGCCAGGTTTTTAATATCGTTACAAAAGTACTAACGCCTATAAATCAACTTTATAATACTGTAACTAAGTTAGTGATATACAACTGTCGCTAATATTACTAAGTTACGATGAACTCCGGTTTCACAGGAGATTAAGTTTGCGGAAACAAGATCTTTTCATTTTATCTTTTAGTTTCTTAATTATATTCCAATTTCATACATAGCGTTTTAAAAGATTTCTAATTGAAGTTTAAAATCAGCAAAATGATTTTGATGTTTACTTCAGACTAGATTGTTTTATGCTTGCAGCTAACTACAGCTGTTGTGAATCGCCCGTTTCTCCTGATTTTGTTGTCCACTTCATACAGTCTCTCCCACAAGGATCAATACCAGTTATTATTTCTGATACCTACCATTGTGGTAAGTGCTATGTATAAAATAGGTGTTTTAAAGTAATCAATACAATACCATTATTTAAAATAATTGACGTGATTTAAAAAAAAACAAACAAAAAACAGTTGTAATTCTGTTCAGTTAAGAAAATTGGTGCGAGCGTAAGTTTGGATCACATTTTATGGTAAAAAGTTTTACTCGTTAGTGGAAGTCGTGTTCGTCTGTGGTTAGTGTTTCTCCTGACGGATTCTTCAGTAGTTTCATGAACTCTACAGTGTGTTTTAATATTAATGCAACAAGGTAAGTTTTCGTAAATATCACATACACCTCTGTTTCAGTGTTATAATTGTAACGTTTATCTAAAAAAATAAATTAAAGTTATTCAATTTTGCATAAATGTAACATTTAATTTTCGCTACTTTGAATAAATCCTAATGAACATGCTCGCAAACCGTGATTAATGTTAAAAGTGGTACAAGTCTACAGGAAAACGAATTATGATCGATTTAACGGGAAGGTTTTGGTTGTTTG